ATAATGTTTTTACGTTTTTGTCTATCCTTTTACTGTAATGGACGCTATAAGAAAACTTTTTTCTATCTGTTGCCGTTTGGCACGGTAACCTGCAATGCTTTCGTTAATTTATACCACATGTGTTTTTTATTTTTTATTTATTTTTTTTTTTTTGATTCTCCAGCAGTCTTACCGAAAAGAGAGTCAGGTACTGTTTCGTAATCCGGTAGTTGGCTGATGTAGCTGCAGCAAGTGTCTGTACTACTCTGTTGTGTTTCTTCATATAATTTACCGGTTGTTAAGGTTTACTCTTCTACATATCTTCAATATTATGGCAATGTACTAAACCACATTTTTTTGTTTTGCATTTTATTAATTTATTTTATAAACATACTTTCTTTCCGACTTTATTGCATTTTAAGGCGTCAAGTTATTAACGACGGGATATTGTATTAATTAAGTAATCAAATTTTAAAGCAGATGTTTTCTTCTACACGAATTGAACAATTTCTTTTTTTTATTCGTGAGTCCGGAACGATGACTAACGACGACGTTTCCTTCCTTAATGATCATTAAACTTTTACGAGTAACTCAGCTAAATAAGAAAGAATGCGCACAAACGGTTTACAAACGGTTTATAAAGTGGCAGCTTAGATAAGAGGTTAAGCTAACTTCTGAGAAAATCCTGTAGACAAATTTCCGGGAAACCAACCAATATACTGGATAGCATATACTCCAAGAAACCAAAAAAAAATTTTTATATTTATTGAAAACAAAGACGCAAAAAAAAAGCAAAATTTTACGGGCTTCTAGGCCGTATTCTTGCAGTTCCTAATCTTGTATATGGATAAAAACAAACCAATAAATTTTCGGAATAGTGCCCATTGATAACTATGGGACACGGTCCACCATTAAATACCCTACTCCACTTCGCTTAATACACTTATTCATATAGCGACCTGCCAACATAAGATTTTATGAGGGAAATGGTAGAAAAAGTGTTACGTTTCGAATCATTGTCAATAGGGTTCTTGCTTGGGACAAAACATGCCTGTGCGATGTGCAGGTTGAACACAACAAAGTAGGATAGACCAGGGGGCAGACAAGCTTAGATGCATTCAGAAAATGATTTTAAAACGGACAGTATCATACAAAGTGGACCTATCCCAGATCTTTCTAGTCCTTATATACATCCGGGCAAACTCAATATATCTGTGTATCGTAAGTGGTGTAGGGTATAACAGAAAAATCAAAGTATTCCTGCTAATTAGCAGTAAAGATGCATTCATTCAGGAACGTCTGTATGAACGACCTAGATTTTTCTTGCCCATGAAAATTAGTAAAGAGGTGTAAATGACGATTTGCAACAATTAATTACATCTCTTAGTGAAACTCGTGATGCATAAGTTGTTTTGGCTGAACTAGAGTTCGAAGCAAGCGTTTTGCTTAATTTTGTCTTGCATCGAGCATAGCCTTCAGCAATCGTATAATTATTACTTACAGCATCTACAGATGTCCTAAGGAGTGTTGCGACTATCTTAATGCTCGCCTGTCTTTAGAAAAGCAAATATCTGCAATGAATGCTTTACAAGACACTTACTAGTAGCATTGATAGGGCATCTGAAGGATAAGGAAGATTGACATAATTTCGTCGTTCAGAACATTCACTATTCCACTCTGTTCTTTCGCATCCTCCCCACAATTGCATTGAATGGACAGAATTTGAGCTTCTTTTGATCGGCATGGAGAAGAATGTAGTAAGCATTTGTATTTTGAGTCTACTTTATGACCCTTTGGAAATGAAAGCAAAAGAAAACTTTTCTCTCCCATTAACAAAATCCATTGAAGTAAATTTTATTGATTGGCCTGATTTTTTTTTTACCAAATTTTTTACACAAATTATTGTTGTAGTGAAAGCTGTTATCAAATTTTAAAAATTTTATAGATTTGTTTGGAAAAATCAACCAAACTCAGATAAGCACAAGAATACAATCTATATGCGATATATATAACACCAAATTATTTTACACTTAAGTATCAAAATAAAGGCTCATGTTACACATCTTTTAAATCTTACAGTGTTATTTTCTCAGTTGCTATAACGATGAGCAAAGGACAGCACTAAAAATAAACGAAAATGAATAACAAATGAATTACTGCACTGTACAAGCGTACATGCATTAATGCAGTTAAGTGGATTATCAGGATTTGGTTCAAGTGTTCGATAAAGAAAACTTCAAATCAATACAAATATATAAATGTGTGTTTAACACAGGCCTTATCATTTGAAACAATTTAGTAAGAACAGCGAAACCCAAGATTTTAAAGAAACCGCCGCCAATAATACTCCCAATATAAAAACAAAAAAAAAAAAAAAAACCAAAATTCTTAAGTAATTTCATAACACGAGTAAGCGCTGATGGACAATCTAAATGAACTAAACAAATTTTCAAACAAAATTTTCAAACACTCGATCCTCTCAACTTAAACTTAACATTTGTGCACTCTTTAATGAATGTAAAGATAAAATAAACGATTAAGAAAATGTTTACGACACCTAGTAACATGTTCGATTCAAACCGATTGGGAGTTTTATGTAAAAAGTGAAAAAGTGATGTGAATCTTATTCATAGTAGTATAAGGGGCACTATGAAGAAATTTAAAGGAGGGGTAAGGTTTTTTATGATCAAATTAGCATCTATAAATGACTACTAACCACACTTGCATGAGTTATGATCAAAATACCATCTACAAATGATTATTAACCACAAACCGCACTAACCACACTAACCACTTGCATAAATTATAATCAATCTTATTTATTTATATAATTATTTTATTATTATAATTTATTTATATAATATAATAATAAAAATAGACAACGAACATTGAACAAACATCCTACCAAAAAGGGACCACGCGAAGAGCATTAAACGTAGTATTTTAAAAAGAAATGCAATGGACGTGGAAGAAGCGAAAGCCGTCTTTCTAATAATATCCAGGAAGCCTTTGATACCGCGTGTAGGATTTCTTTATCTGGTTCAGGCAGGTCTGCGTGCTATGTGTTCATATGCGCATACATAAGTAAAGGATTTACAAAATACTGCATGTTCTTCGCAACACATACAATGAAATGTTTGAGCTGCTGTTTGCTCCAATGTTCTTTTCAAAATTCTTTTGTTTAAGACATCTTGTTGTAGAGATCGGTTTGTAAACATAAGCTGGAATAAAAAGTAACCGAATTTCATAAGAGAACGTCTAAAACTTCTATGCCTTTATCACGCCAGAATTAGTTCCTAATTTTAAATTGTTTTTAAAAATAAAGAATAACGCTTGACCAACACAAACATACCTTCAGTATATAGGAGCTTTTTTGTTTTTAATGTTACCTTGACCTTGTTCTTATCGAGTCGTTTCATTCGCGTTTAAATATATATCGCAAATGTTCAACATGCTTTTAGAATCGTCGGGACAGGTTTTTTGGGGAAAAAAGATATCATTATAGATGACTTAAACAAGTAATAAAGTAACTTTAGGTGGGAAGAGAGTATAATGCGCGAGTTACGATATCTATTAGAAGACAAAATTTGAAAACCGCTGGAATAGTCCAAACTAATTCTGTAAGGGGAAGCATGTGTGCGAGCATAGTGCAATTAAGGAATTAAAGAAACCGTAAACCAAGTTGCTGATAAAGTTGTTGATAAAATTAATAAAGCTTGAATTTGAAGATAATGTATGGGATTTTACTATTTACTCCAAGTAAGCTGCCTACCTCTACAGAAACTGTATGCAATTCAGAATATAAACTTTTATGGCCAAATTAAACCTCTGCGGAGCTATGAACATCAAGAGGTCAAGTGCAATGCAAGGACAGCATAGGCGGTAGCTATTCCACTTTAACGTTTGACAGTGACCATCAAGTTTGAAGCAACAGTTAAACAACGTATGGTTCTCAAGAGTATTCTAAAGTTTTCCATTGCAAGTTTTTTACAAAGCAACATTGTATACATACATATTAGATATGTAGAAAAACTTCGTCAGCAGGTAGAAAAGAATAGCTGGTATTGCGCGTTAATGAGCGAAATGGGTCGTAACTCTGATATTATCAGCAATTATATGAAGGCTTTAAAGCAATCGTGTCATCATTGCGTATATAATAGAATCAAAGTTTCCCAAAATTTTGTTGGTTGTTGTATGTATACTAAGTATGCCGTATTTAAAACGTTAACTGTGTATAACGAATGTGTTAGTGATTGTCCGTCCATATGTTGTTGTCGGATTTCCTCATAAAATTTTATCATTATGGATGTGTATTTGCCGAAACAATGCATTTTAGAAAAGGTGTTTGTCATTTTGTCAAATCGTTCCTTTCAACCTACTTTCATGCTACACATACTCTCTGTTTGACTAGTATACGAGTATATCGCTAAAGACGTCGACAGTCAGTTAACTGGTGGTGGTGGTCACGTCGGTAACTGTAAAATATTACACGAATTTTATAAACTTTCCATTTGACTTAAAAAAAAAAAAAATACTACAAAAACTCTTTTCTTCTCTCTTTTCACGGCATATATGCTTTAAAAAATTATAACATGTAAACGTTAGCAGAAAAGAGAAGTAAAACAGCGACATCTCACGACGTTCCTTAGGTTTAGCAACTAACAGAACCAGAACACAAATGTCAGAGAGTAACAGTTCTCGTCTCTAAGATATTAACAATGTTAACGTAAACTGTTATACGCTTAACTTTATGTAATGAGACTAATTATGTTACTCTGCTAAATTTCTCTGGCTCTGTAAAATTTTTTTTGTTGTATTCGTTGGAATTTTTATACGGCATTGCGTGAGCCCCTAAAATGTTAGCGTTCGTTTTATGTTTACGTCGTTCGAGTCGAAGACACATGAAAGGAAGAAAATTTAGTTATATCGAAGGCGCGTGTTAAGACGGTTCAGTTATAACGGGTAATAATTGCCGGTCGTGACAAGTTAGTTAATATTTCTATACCCACTTTATGTATTTTAAACACTTGCTTGCTCTGAATTCATACTAAATTATGCTGCTTACATAGGCATATGCATAACAGTGTATATATGTAATATATAATACTACATGGGTGAATGTGTTTAATACGACATTAATTAGTTCAATGAATAAAAACATACATATATTCAAAAAATACAACTAATATTTTCTCCTAAGGGTTATCATATATACATATATATATATATATATATATATGTGTGTGAGGTGACGAAAATTTAGACATCATAAATCAAAGAAAATTATAGATGGTCGCATAAATGAAATATATATATATACATATATATAATGTGACAATTTGTGAAGTCAGATAAATTATTGTATAGAAAATAATAAATAGTATGTGATGCTAAAAAACAAAACAGTGTTGGTAATATGCTCTCTCATGCTTTAAAAAAAACCAAAAATAATTGTGTGTAAAGTCTTCTAAACTCGAAAAAAACTCACGCAACAGCAACAAAAATTATTAAATGGCAAGTGCTTCAAAATATTTCTTAAATTTTTGATTAAAATCCCAATGGATTTAGTTATTCCTCGGCCATTGTTTAACGGAATATTATACTCCAAACTATAAACAGTTAGGATATCACGATCAAACAACAACATCAACAACAACACCGCAACGTAACAGCAAGCACGGATTATATTTCATATTAAAGTTATTTAATGGTAGGTAAACAAAAATTTATGTTGGATTTCATTGCTTTGTTTTGCCTTGTTTTGGAAATTTTCGAAATAAAAATGAAACCTTATAACTGATGATTTTCATTAATGAAGGTAGGTATGCGCCTAATGTTGTACATTTTTGTTATGTTAAATGAGTGTTTGGCAAACTATAGCAATTAGGTTAAAATTTGTGTGCAAATTAAAGGTTGTCCTACTATTTAGTCATGATAAGCTTTGTTACGTTTTTCTTTGTTTGCTAACGGCGCATGGAAATAATTTACACATACACAGACACTATTCTCAGTAAGAACGTTCGAGGAAGAATCAACGGGAATTTTATTTAAGTAATCTTCAATTCTTTTAATATCTTAGGCGTACGTATGACTGGGATGACTCTCTCTCTCTCTCCTAAGAGACCTTTCATCCTTATGTGAGGTTACGACAGAATGTACAAAAGTCGTAGTCGAATTAAATTTGACGGGTGTAACGTCCTCATACCATACAATAGTTTAATAATTTACGGGCTTGGCTCCAAATGATATTTTTTTATTCTTCCTTTTTTTTTCATGGTTATCATCTTACATTTTGCTTAGTTGCTATTGGTCACGTGTCGAAAGGATTTGAAAGGGTTGCGTTTGATTGATGAAGCTAACTATTTTTACATGTTTTATGAATATTGTGCTTACATTTCCAGATCTCGACGTATTTTTAATGTAAGGCTGAATCGAAGCTGAAAACATGATAAAAGGTTTTCCATGAAGACCTGGATTAACTTATAATGTTAAGTTGAGCTAATATTACGATAGGATATGCAAACAACGGTTCCTCCTTTGCGTTATTTCATTGAGCAGAGGTCGATGACTGCCCGATCCGTAGGCAATATAAGATTATAGCCAAATAAATAAATACTTTCTATTTGCCTCTCTACTACAGTGAAGTTCTGGAAGTCATAATTGAATAAAATATGCATAACATAACGCGTTGTAAAACCGATAAATAACATCCCTTCGAGGAAGGTCGGATTATTGCAAGGTCAGTTGTGGTTGGAAATATAAATGACAAAACAATGATCCAAAAAGAAAAACAAGTAAAAAGATTATGGTGGGCCATTGTTCACCAAGCCACCTAATACGTGTAATAACATTTCAAAGTAAGTCGTTACATGGAATGTAATGGAAAAAGTGATCCAATCTAAAACATATTCAATAGCGTTCGGCATTCGGCCAAAACACGTGGTTGCCCCGGTTTTCATCAAGATATCTCAAAAATTGCGACCTATGGATTAAACACTACAATATAAGATGGTCAGGCTAAAAAGATAGGCCTGCCTTAAGTCTTTCTGGGTTTTGCATACATTCGTACAAACTTAATACAGTCTCGTAGCAAAAGTTGTGCAGGGTATAAAAAAGAAACCCAGAATTCATCACAGTACGGGTTCGTCCCAAAAAGTAGCAAAATTCTCTTTGCAATATTCTCATTTTCTAAAGAAAGAGATGGGAGCAGTCGCCATTTTGTTTGCTTAGGGTATCTTCCCCGTTCGTATAACAGGGCGTGACGGCCAAAAAGAAGAACTGAAGAAAGGGAACGATATAGGGTGGTGGCCGCAACTAATGGGTATGTGTGTCAAATTCGTCAGTATTATGCCTTCACCAACTGAACACGCGCTATAGCAATGACCAAAGTAAACTCTAGGCCTCTGAGATTTGAACACGCGAATGCTGACTTGTTTATCGAGGTTCTCATCCACTCACCTACTCTTACGATAGCTACATAGAAACGTTAAGTTTGGGAAACTCTGCATTGGAGCAATAAATCATTATTAAGACCTTCGGCGATTAGATTCACATTCAAATATAAAAGATGTTGTCCTGAAAATGATTAAATTTCAAATATTCTTTATCTGCTTATTGTGACTGATTAACTGCCTTAAGTTTGATAGTTTTTGTCGCTATTTTCTACAAAATAAAACTTTAGTGCTGTAGAGCATACTTGGTTGCAGCTATAGTGAGTGCTCAGTCGGTAAAATGCATAACACTTACCGATGGGACAAGCATACATTAAGAGCGCCATCATGTTGCACATATAGGGGACAAAGTGAATAAGTACATGGAAAGGCAATCGCTTAAGTGCGATCTCGAACAAAGTTTGACCTTCTTAAAGTACCCATCAAAGTGATTTGTACAGCTGCGAATTAATAGTTTAGGAAAAGTAATAAAACATGACTGCCAAAGCTTATCATTATCTAACATGGGATTTTAATGCGGCTGCAATGTTTACATGCTACAACAGCTACATATATTAATGCGACTATTTTAAATATTTAATCAAGCATTTATGTGCTGCGAAGCAACCATAATGGAAATCGTTTATACAATTACCCTTTGACTTATGCAGCGAACATTAGCTTAAATAAATAAGAAAAATGCGTTCTAAAAAAAATACAAACCTTTTAGTCTGGGGTGCAAAGAACAGTGAGATATATTTACATAGAGACAGTTGAGGAAAGAAACTGCCCGCGTATCAGAGAGTGTTGTGCTTAGAAATGTTAGATGGGGTCCTAAAACTTGATAAACAAATATTTAAAGAGTTACATCAAAAACACCTTTTGAAATGATACCTTTATCCCTAGAAGACTTGAGAGGGCTTCAATGAGTATGCATTTAATATTGGCCCGCCTTTTTTTTGACAAACAAATAAATACATTTGTTTGTCTTCACTAGTGTAGAATATATTTAGCGATTAGATTTACTAAATATAGTGAACAGCATGTCTAGTGATGCTCTTTATTTCAAACTCACAAGGTCTCCTTTAAGAGCAATAAACTTATTTCGACCATATGCTAATATTTTGTATGGCAGCAGATTGAGTACAGCTTGTCACATATGCCTAAGCAAGAGTTTACTTTGACCGTAGAGCTACAGTGAGTGGCCAGTTGGTAAAGGCATAAAGTTTGGGCCAACTAAGCTGCTGGAACCGCTCCCTTATCGCCTTCTCGTTCCTTACCTCTATCAGATCGTCATAATGTTACACAAATAGGGAATATCTCCTAAATGATCGGTCGACTTAAAAAAGAAAAAAGTTTGGCATATGGCATTTCGTTCAAAAAATTGTTTTTTTCAGTCTCGGGAACCTATAAGGAAACCTGGCGAATATTGGAAGAATGGAGCAACCTTTTTAGCTATTCCTTCTGATACGCGTTCGAACGCATTCTAATCTTTTGTTGTCTCCGCCTATTTGTATCGTTTCGCTTTCACTGTGTCAACTTGACGTAAAACTCTGTTACCATACCTACTTCTTGAAATTACCATACAAATAGGAGAAGCCCATGTCGTAGTTATCAAGGATACATGTATCGGCTCACATGGTGATAACTGAGATGAGAAATTATTTCTACTCCAAATCGGCAACAGTCAAGCGAAACGTCTGACTTCGGCTGCTAAGTCTTTGCAGATGATCGTCTGATTTTGACTATTAGCTCTTTTCACCTTAATTTCACTAAAATATGAAGTGATTCGCTCATGTCTTATTCGATACTAGAAGTCTGCGAAGAAGTTATGCTTATTATGCCAAAACGCTTTCAAATTTTCACCTAAGCCACCAAAAGGGTGTCATCGGCCTCGCCTAAATACATCATGCATATTTTTAAAAGAAAATTCAAAATGCCTCCGGGTTATTGCTTGCAACAACTGCTACCAGCACTTGGACTTTGAAATCCATGAGTTCAACTCTCTGTTTTTGCGTGAAATTAGCGCTTGATATGCTGAAAAATCGATACATTTGTGCTTGTTTGCTGGCTTATGTTGGCGAGTTTTTGTTGATTTTTATTGTTATTATTAATAGATGGACAAATATATTTATTTGCAAACAAAGAACTCGAAAAACTAATGTAATTAAATGAAAGCGATTGTGTTGTTCGTTGCAATTATTTGGCCGAATCACTGAAAGCAATTTCAATATGAACAACACGTTGAGATAAATTTTCCATGATATCTAATTCAAAAGCATATTCTGAGGCGAATATCCTACATCATGTTAACAACCTATATGTGGTAGGTTTGTATTACGATTCCAAAAGTGTCATTTCTAAAGTGCAACACAACAAGTTTAATTGAATCAGAACCCTCAACTATCCATTAATACATACATTCGTACGTATACATCCTATATATCATGGCAATCTGAATTTCTAGATGCTACAATTGCAGACGAAAAAGTTTCTAAATACTTGTCCATGCCGCAAATATTTCTTTGCCTGTAGATGCGTTTATTGCAATTTACTTTTGCAATTAATTTCTTATTGGTGCCCCCATTAGATCTAAGGTTAAAAGAAAAAACATTTTTTTCTCATATAATATATTTCAAAAGCGATCGTCCTTCGGCCAAAATACGTCAGTGTACCAATTTTCTTCAAATTATCTCGTAAATTACGAACGGACATGAGACGGACAGCCGGACAGACAAGGTTAGATCGACTCAGTAAATGATTCTGCATCGATGGGTATAATAAAAGGCGAGTGTAGTTCAAGTTCTTCTGGGTCCTAGAACGATTCGCATAAACTTAACATTCCCTGCGCTATAAGGCAAGGTGTAGGGTAGGGAAATAATAAAATCATCAAATCATTGCAACTAACCTACTGTTTTTTTTTTTTCTCAAACTTTGTTGAAACTCGTCTTATTAAGCATAAAATGAAAATAAAAGAAAAAAGCAATTGCAAATTGCAATCCAACCGAATACTTATTCGATTTTCTTGACATCCTATTGCATCAAAACCGTCTTATCATATTCGCAAATTTTTATCGTGTTTGTGTTGAAACCATATTTGCTAAGTATCGTGTTATACGAGGGATGCCTGCGTACCTCTATTCTTCGGTGGTGGGTATAAAACGAAAAAAAAAAAAGACAATTCAGGTACGTGACATAACTTATGTGCCATTCATTAAATAAAATATTTGTTTAAACTTAGCGTAGAGCGTTATAAGAACAAATGGCCGACTCTAGCGTA